CAAGATAATGAACAAAATTCATTAAATAGTAACAATAAATCTCTAACAAATGCACAATTCCAACGACAAAAAACAATACAATTTTGTATTGATACTTTGTTACATGCACTTAATTGTTGTATAGTCAATTGTATTTATCGTGGTTGTCTTTGTTATAAACGTATTATACAACATGCAAAAGATTGTAAAGAAAAAAATCGTCAATGTTATAAATGTAAACAAGTTATTTTTCTTTGTTGGCATCATGCTAAAAGTTGCCTGAATCAAAATTGCCAAGTTCCATTTTGTATGAATTTAAAATCTATAATAGAAATCGACCGGGCAACTAGTTTACAAACAGATCGACTTCTTATCGAAGCCATAATTAAGCAAGAGGAAACAAATATTAGGCAAACACAAATACAAGATAAATGAATTGTATTGTAGAATATTTTTTCTGAATAAAATCTCGTTTGATTCTGAAAATGAAATAAATTAAGTTAAGAACATTTAGCTCATAATAGTTTGATGCTTTATTGATTTCTCACTCAAATATGTGGCATAGAATTAATAAATAGTTTTTTGTAATTAATTCAAAAGTAGTAAAATACCAAGAAGTCAAAAATCAGAAAACACTTTTCGCACATTTTATTTTTCTATTGAAACATATAGTAATAGCATCTGATAGATAATAGTGGCTATCAGAAACTTTGTCAATGATTTCCATGAAATTGAAAGAAGATCATCATCCATAGTCTCGAAATCTATTTTGCCTAACTGAAAAATGATCCTTATCCATTTCCTCAAGAAAAATTCTAAATTAGACAAGATTGGATTCGTACCAGATATTCAAAATCTGTTTTACGATTGTCCAGAAAAATATATTTTATAATGGGTCTTCTATCACACTGAAATGTTTTATATACCATGGCACCAGATATCATGCATGCAACAAATTTTTGATTAGTCGTTCTAACTTACACACTATAAAACGAAAACATCAAATTTAATAAAAATCTTCAGTAATATTACGTCAAAAATAATTGCGTAAGATTTATTTAAAAAATTTCAACAGACATATGGATTCTTCTATGTTCTATAAATTGCATTTGGGCTAGCCAAAAACATAAAGATGTTTCTCTTCTAATTATAATTCTGTGTCTGCGATATTGAACTTTACAGGTCATATCTTACTGCTGATTAAAGTTTCGGAAAAGCTTGTGTAATATGCAATGCTATTAACAGCATAGAAAATAAAGTATGATTTTCTTGTTTTGTTTTCAACTATTTTCAGTTTTCATCATTCAAGAGGAAGGGAAGATCCAGTATATCGAAATTCTACTAGTCAGTGATTTGCACAAAGCTAATTTACGTGTCTTGCTTGTTCTGAAATATCAGTTTCTAATCATCTGAAAGAGTTTAAGAGTAATTTATCATGTTAATTTCAAATAGTGAGTGTGTGAATGATTCAGGTGCACAACAGCTAATATGGCCATTTTAAATCGGTTCCTCATGTCTTTGCAGTAAAACCAGTTTCCTGGAAGCTAATAGAATGCATCGAATCTAAAGCTGGAATTAAAGATGCAGCTTCTGATGGAACTACTGTTTATTTGTTTAATGGTGGGTGTGGGTGTGGGGTGGGGTGTGGGTGTGGGTGTGGGTGTGGGTCTGGGTGGGTGTGGGTGTGGGTGTGGGTGTGGGTGTGGGTGTGGGTGTGGATGTGTGGGTGTGGGTGTGGGGTGTGGCTGTGC